TTTTAATTTTATCCCGTTCTTTGATTTTGATTATCAACACTAGAATCACTTAAATTTAATTTTGAATAGTCATAATCTTGTACAATATGAATAGGTTGCATTTGGCCGACATCTTGTCCTTTATTCAAATGTTCTTCAGATTTGTTTTTAAGAGAAATATTACAAGTATAGTATTTATTATTTTTGTCATATAATCCATGAAAAATTTTAACTTGCTCTAAATTATGAATTGAAGAATAAATTTTGATATCTTTATAAACTATTGCGGGTTCAAAAATTACATTAGTATTTGTAGGATTTTTTAACTTTTACTTTTGCATAAATATATTCTTCATTATTTAACAAAATTTTATGGTTTAATACAGCCTGTCCATTTTGTTTAGTGTCCAAATTTTGTTTATTTATATTTTGTTCATTTACATTATGAATCTCTCCATAAGTAGTTGACACAGTATCTTCGTCATAATCAAAGTTTACATTATCAGTGCATTGTTTTTGCATTATTATGGTACCCTTTAATTAATTATTAATTTAGCCATAATTTAAACTAAATTTTAGTTCGAATAATGCTGATTCATTTGAGCTACCATCGACTATTCATAATATGTCAAGGATTAATGAAAAGAAAAATTAATGGTACCCTTTTGCCATTAATTGTCATAAAATTGCCCTTAGGTGACAATTAAATAATATGCATTAGAATAAAATCATATCCCAATATCCCTTCAAAAATTGAATTATTTAAATGTGTAACAAAAAGTGTATGTTTATATAGTTTATTATTTATTTTTAAAGAGATTTGAATACAACTTAAAAATGAAACCTTAGAATTTATAGTATTAATTGAAACTGAACGTGAAATAGATTCATATTTATTATTATGTTTAAGTTTATTAAATGTTTCATTGGAAATTATTGAAAGGGTAGAGCCCGAATCAGTTAGAAAAGGTGCAGAATAATCATTAAATTGTACATTAATGATGGGTAATTAAGGTGTTTCATTGTGCACAGATGCAATAATTTTATTAAGTTATAATATTCATTTTGCCTTTTTATTTTATTAACAGTTTGGGTAAAAAATTTTTTCTTTTCATTAATCCTTGACATATTATGAATAGTTGATGGTAGCTCAAATGTATCAGCAATGTTCGAACTAAAATTTAGCTTGAATTAGGGTTAAAAGTGGTGTCATTAGGATTTGGATAAGTTTCCTGTCTATTATCATTATTATAAGTGTCATTATGGTTAGGATTATTATAAGTGTGATCTCTTACATTGTAATTTCTGTTGCTTCGAAAGTTCATTCGACTTTGATCATTTCTATTATATTTATTGATTTGTTTATTTGGTTGAGGAATATTTAAAAATTCTCTGCAAAATTTCATAATGCTTGCCACAGAAAACACAAAAATTCTGTTGAAAATTTTGTTTGTTATTATTATGGTAAGGGACTTAACGAGAACTATTTCTATTAGAATAATGAGTTTTCTGTTTATAATTACTATTTCAAAATGTTTCCTATTTCCATCAGATTTATTCTTAGTTTTTTTATTATTTGAAACAATATTGTTTATCTGCTCCTTTAATTTTAAAATTTCTGAATTCAGATTTAAGATGTTATCATTACGTTTATATTGATTATTAATTGATCTGTCAATTTTCTGCAGCTGCTGTGCTCTTTTTACAGCATTCTCATAATTTTTGATATTTTTCTTCAATGTTGTCACTCAGATCTGCCAACTCTTCTGCTTTTAGCAGGAGTCTAAGGATGATTTCTCCTGCTTTTTCCTATTTAGTGCACAATAGAGAAAAAAAAAGGGAAAAAAAAGCGATCATCTGCACTTAAGATACAACCCCCGTTTTTACTTTGCCTCTTCACATTGTATGAAATCATGATAACGTCATCTGACGCGATCAGGATCAAAAAATTGATTCAGATTTAGTGATTGGTAACAAAACTGAAGAAATTGTTAATACTTTATGCAGTGGTGACCAACAGATTTTTTATTCTGCTGTCAGAAATTTTGTTAAATGTTGCGATTATGTCTTTCAAAAATGAAATTTTAACTAATGCTGAAGTAGTTAATTTAGAAAATATTTCCAATGCTTCTTTTTCTAGTATTAAGTTTTTCATTGATAATTTTCCTGTGTTGGTAAAGGTTTTAGGTCAAAATAATACTCATTCATATCTTGATACTCTGGAATCACAATTCTGTGCTCTTCAATGTGATGCAAATTCTCAAATGTCATTATCTACTGATTGGATAGACATGAAGTGGTCAAAAGTAGGTTCTCTAAAGGGAAATGCTTATTCTGTGTTAGCTAAGTTTATGCATGCTGTGTTCCATACAGCAATGCAACATGTGAAAAAATATTTAGGATACTTGATGACAATTAAGGAAAATTAAAAAGAGATTTTGATACTAATTTTTTTAAATAACGCTAAGTCAACCAGTTTTAAAACAGGAGCAGTTAAAAAAAGAAGAAGAAGAAATGTATAAAGTATTGTACTCATTATTGACATATTTTTTTAATTTCGAACCTCTTCCTAAATTTAAAAAAATCAAAAGATTTGTTTTAATGTAATTCTAAAGAACCTTTTATTTTATTGTAAGGACACATATCCTTATTAGTCAGTGTCAGAATCTTATTGTGATCTATTAATGTAAATAATATAATTTGAAATAAATTTCTTGTAGGAAATGTGAATCAGGTTTAATTTTCAACATTGCGCTATGTCGTGATGCAGAAAGAGTCTCCTGCTTTTTTACTTTCTAAGGTTGGCAGGTCTGCTTTTTTATCACGAGGAAGTGCTCCCATCAGATGCGTATACTTTTAGGTTTGAATATCTTTACTATTTAAGTATAAATTAACAGATAACTTAAAAGGAAAGATTGTATTTTATAATTAAAAAACTCTATCAAAACAAAACAACAACAAAATCATGAATCAAATTTTCACAATGCTTGCGTACGTCAGGTTTCTTGTAAGTTTACCACATTTAAACTTTATTCGCTCCTTTTAAATTTATTTTTTTGTTGTCATAATTTATTTTTTTTAACAAAGATTATTAATTTTAAATTTTTTGATTTTTACTTTCTAAAAACATAGTTTCCTGATTTTTAATTATGCTCAGAATGTTTCTAAGAATACCAATGCAAATTTTTTAAGTCCCGCAGTGGACTGATCGTTAAGACACGGTTCTCAGCATATCACCGAAGTCAAGCATCACTGGCTTTGGTCAGTGTGCGGGTGGGTGACCACTTGGATCAGTCTGCGTAGGGACCGAGGGTGTGCGGTATTGGTCCTCGTTAAACTGTGCTACCGTAAAGTGCTCGCCTTCGCGTGCAGGTCGTTGGGCTACTGAAACAGGGGTGCCATCCCCCCTGCAGAGGATCTAAATTGTGATGGCATGTCTTCGGATCATCCTCAGGGATGTTTCCCAGACCGTCGCCAATAGCCCTTTGTGCAGCTCTAGTGCGACGTAAATGAACTACAACAACAACAACAAATTTTTTAAAGATTGGATATGAAGAGTTCCAAGATGTGGCTTTTTTTCTTCAACATCTTCTTATTTTAATAATTTAAATAGAAATCACGAAATTTATAGTTCCAATTCATGTTCCACCATGGTTCAGGCTTTCAGCACAAGTTTCATTATTGAAAACTTTCTGGGACTTTACTCATCCATTAAAAAAATATATATATTAATAATTTTATCTGTACAAATGTTTATGGATCCAGGGATCTTTTTTAATTGAATAAACAAATCTTGTAGGACAGATACAGTAATCACATCATAGAATTTTTAAATGATGAGTCGAGTTATCCACTAAATTACTTTTGTGCAAAAATGTTAAGTATCATATTCATTTCAAAATTTTTGAAACTCTGCTTTAAAATCATATGATTAAACTCAATTACAAATTTTAGTTATATATTTGTACAAGGGAATATTCTGGTTATTTTTTATAATGTAACAGTACTGTAAAAATTTTTCCATGCATTGTTTTTGAGTTGATTATACTAATAAAGTATACAATAATATTTACACTTTCTGAAAAAAAAGCAATTCTGTAATTAAAAACAGCATGTTTTATTTAATATTTTGTGATAATGTTTGCTTTTGTCATCTTAAGTAAAGCAAAATATGCTTTTTTTTTAGTTTGCTGTTTTCAAAAATAATCTTATTGTTCCAAAAAATGTCCTGATTTTTTTCTTTGATCTACTGTACTTTGACCCATAATCAACTTCAAATTCTGTAAATAAGAGCCACGATGGCTCAGGGGATGGAGCATTTGCTTTCCAATCTATTGAACCGGGTTCTAATCCGAGCAATGGCTGATCAATGTGAAATGCGCACCCGACCACAATGCGGACGCGAGATATTCTCAGTGGTAGAGAGATGGTGTGTTAGAGTCCCCTTGCTGTCTGGCTCACCGTGGGAGGATATGGTGATCTTCCTCTCAGCATACCAAATGTGGGTTAGTTCCATCAATAAGACAAAGGAAAATTTCTCCCGATTCAGGAGTTCCCTTGTCTTCTGGATTGGGTTCAAAATAACAAATCTCGGAGTTGAACATTAGTAGTCGTAAACCCAAAACTTGGGTCGGCTGTTCAACGACGGTTATAAAATTAAAATAAAACTCTGTAAATAGAAGTTGAGACACTTCACGACATTCACTGTATTCTTTGTTCATTATAACATGGTTTAAGTGTATGTTGCATATTCATGAAGTTAAAAAAGTTGTAACATAAAAATGGCCACTAGAATTATTATAAATATAGTGGAATCATAATTTCCCCCACCCTCAAATGATTGTGTGTATCAATCTTTTTTTTACCATTCTATAATTTCATTTCATAGTCATTTCTTTATTATTTTCGCCATGCATTCAGTTTCTATCATTTGCTTATCGCCATTTGTCTTAAATATTTCTACTCTTTTTTTTTATGGATTTGAAATATATGTTTACGTGAATAATTCTTTTGTTTTTCAGAATATGTAATTTAGAATTAATGAGCATCTATGGTTGTGAAACATGGAAATCATGTAATGGTGTTTTAGTTCAGATGGTGAATCAGGCTCAGAAGCAACTCCAAGACTTAAGGTTTGTTTTTAAAATTTTATTCAAGAGATTTATTGAATGCTGGCATCATTTAACACTAAACATACCGGTCAAATGACCATTTAAGAACTTTTGCATCGAAAATGCGCTCTTATCGTTTTTGCGCATTTGACCTCATGACTTTTTCTAACAATTACATATTGTTAATATTCCATGATTATTTCTTTTGTTTTTTGTTTCAAATTTTGTTGGTATTTTGTTTGTTTCAAATAATACTTATCCTATACCTATTTCTACCACAACCGGTCAATTGACCAAAAGAACAATTTATTGCTTTATAAGGTTATTACGATGTAATGCGTGTTCAACGTATTGCATTCGATGAGTTGCGCATTTCTACAAGGACTGTTGCATAGTTAGTTCAATCAGAATGACTGTGAATTTAAATTTCAAGAAGAAAGTACCTAAAAAGTTTAGATTGGCATTTTTGTGTCAGAAAAAGTGACAAAAACTAAATGTTTTGGTACATAGCTTATATTTTATTTTGATAGCTCTGCTTCATTTGCAACTAACTGTTAGTTTTTACCCAGAAAGATGTCAAAACAATCAAGACAGAAAGTTAGAAGAAATAATATTAACTATAAGAATAGTTATAAGAATTATAATTCATTTAATTATAAGAATAATTGCAAGATTTATGGAAATGATAATAATTAGAAGAAATATGTTTGGAGAAAATGTATGATGGAAACACCCTGTATATGTAAAAAATGCATTGAGCAATGAATTAAAAATTCTTATTCTTTGTGTTTGTAATACATAAAAATTGGCAATATACAATTTTGTTTAATTATAATAAAGTTTTTATAGTTTATTTCCTTTCTAACATCCATATTGCATGCATTCAATCAAGAAACATGAAGTCCGGTCATTTGACCGACTATGGTAGAAATATATATATGAAGTGTTGGTATGTGTTAAGAAGAAAAAAATTACAAAAGGGTCATCCTACAGCTAATTTCTCCCTAGACGAAATTTCTTAATAGAACTATAAAAACAATTCAAAAAAGATATTAATGAAAAATACAAAATTTTTTGGACATGAATCTTTTGGATTTTTGAAAAGTTTCAAGCATTTATTTTTTCTGTTTTAATAATTTTTGAAGAGAGTTATAACATTAGACCGGAATTCCAGAAGGAAATTGAAGAATAACAGATTATGTATATCTATCTCTCTTTTTAAAAGCGTACAAAAAACTACTACTTTGCTTCATATCTTATAAATGAAGAATTTTTGATCTGTGTAATGTGCAGCATTAAAGATCAGGAACTGATAGTGATTCCAGCAGGTTTTGGTGATTTAAATCAAATTATTATATATATATATATATATAGAGAGAGAGAGAGATTTAAAAAATTAAAAAACAGTGTTTTAAATTATTGATACTTTTATTATTTTCTTTTCTTAGTTTTAAAATTTATTTTAAATAAATTGCTGCATTAATTAATTTTAGTTAACAAAATTACTTTCTTTCTTCGTGTGTGTTCAATTCCAAAATATTTGAAATTCCATTTTTAAAATTCTTTTGATTCTTGAGATTGAAAGTACAGATTAAAGTAAACATATGATGCTTTCTTAATATAAACTTGAATAGCTCAAGAAAGTACATTAATATCAAATCACAGAATGAAAATATCTATGTTGTTAAATTAAATAACCCAGAATTAGAATTGTGCTCTCTCTTTTATCAATAAGTATTTTTTTCTCACACTATGTTTAATGTATCTTTGACATTATCATATTTTCTATAAAGAAATTCTGTGAAAAAATATTCGAATGAGTACAAAGATTTAAAAAATTTTTTTTTAGCTTAACTTATCTATTTTGATATCGGATTAAAAATTAATATTTTAATATGAAAATATATAGATTAAATATTTATTTATTTATTGATGAATGACTACATTTGTAGACACAATCTGTTGCATTTATTTTGTCATACTAAAAAACAAGAGGAAAAAAAGAAATCACAATTTTAAATGAAAATTATGGTTGCTAATTGAAACTTTGTTTTGATAGTTAAAGTAATCTTTAAATTCTTGTCTTTAAATTTCAATCATGCATTCATTTCAAAATGGTTGCTATGTATTATAATGACAAATTGTTTTAGATAGTTAGAGCTTCTAAAATATTGTTATAATATAGTTTTTATGTTAATTTAATTTTGATTAAACATTTATAAAATTTATTTTTATCATAAATCAAAGATCTTACAGTGTATTTGAATTTTAAGAAAAATCTGATTTATATTTTTAAAAAAATCATGAACCCTGGATTCTGGAATTAAAGATGTGAGGTAACAAAAATAGTCTCAGACCAAAAGAACTACAATTATTCAAAACCATAAAAATAAAAGAGTTTTTATTGTATTAGACTCTATTTTCAACTCTCTCTTAAAATGTCAATTTGTATTAAAATTTAAAATCGTGTAATGTAACATACTGCAAAATCAAGGAATTTTTGTTAGTACAATGCATATTAATCTATAAATTGATGAAAAGTCTTCATTTTTGAGCATTTTAGTTATATCCTTAAAATGAATAGCTTTAATAGATCTATTATAATATCTATTAATGACTCAATTTTAATTAAAAGTCATGATTAGGTCAAAGCTTTTGACCTCATCCGACTGACAAATAATTTTGTATTAATTACTTAAACAACTGCAAAAATCTCTGATGTTTTCTTCAACTGAAACTGTTTCATTTTGTTATGGAGAGACTCCACTGCATTTGAAAAAAAAAAATTAATGCATTCTGTTATGTGATCATCACAATGTTTGTTGTTCCAATTGCCTACTGGGCTGTCTCCAATTGAATCACCCTCTTTGTTGTCTTTGGCCTTTGCGAAATCTCTAGGGATCAGCGCCTGGTGTATCTCGCAACCGCTAAAGAGGGGACGCTATCTTTTGGAGATAGACCAGTATTCTCCGTAGAGCTCTCACCGAAGGCCTTCTTTTTTTTCTCTCTCCCCCTGTGTGCTCTCAGATTGTGGATCTCGTATTCATCTTTATTTTTAATAATTTTCAACTCTCTTTTACATATAAATTTATCTGAAGTTTTTAACAACTCTTATGATGCCTATATAAAATTTAATATTTTCTCCCTGGAGCCCCACAGGGAGGATCAATCATAACCTTTTCCAGTATACCTTCATGTATATATATCTTCTGCAATGTAATATCTGCATACCAAAACGTAAAGCAAAAGAAGGACGCCTTGCCAAATTAGTCTTTCCTTTTTGAGATTGAAAACAACACAGTATGACCAGCGATCTTACCTGGGGTGTAGCAGCGTTCCCCTTCAAACTGACCCACCACTCCAATAGAATGACTCTCCTATGGAACGCATTCAATAATATTATTTGTTTATTTCTATTTGTGTGCATTTTCATAGTTATAAATTGTGGGTGCATTTCAGGAAGAAAATAATGGATGTCAACTGGAAAAGGAAGAATGCTCAAAATAGTGCTGGCGAAAAATTAAAGGATCTCGAATCAAGGTTAGTAATATTATTTAAAGGTGCGACAAAACATGTCCATTACAACAAAACAATTATTTTTTTTAATGCATGGAATACGATGGAAAAACTATTTTTGTTACTATTTTCTATTTTGTAAATTCCAAACATATTTCAAAGTGACATATTTTTTGCTCATGCGTATGATTTTAGCAACATATGTGGAATATTTGGTGACATACTGGCTCAAACCCTAATAATGTTAATTATAGTTTAAATATTCAAATCTAAGAATCTTCAATGATTCTCTTAAAAAAAAACTTAATTTATTTTTTAAAAAAATTGTTCTACATATCATTGCTTTTACAGCATTTTTGGATCTTTTTCCTGTTATACCAATGTTAATTATTGCCATGGTGCGTAGCGTTTTCAAAAAGATATTCTACTTGATTACACATTATTCTACATAAGGTGCTTATTTTCAATTTTTGATTTTTAACCCTTTGCTTGCTGCTGGTACAGCATATGTACCGGTAGAAAAAACTACTCTTATTGTGGTGCTGGATCAGCAGTTGTACTAGTGGTTCTCTTCTCCCTTTTCTCCTAGACCGCCATCGCACCTGTCATTTCTTCAAGAATATTAATATGTAATTTTGACCTATTATTAAAAAAAAAGACTTAACGCTGCTTGCTTTTGATTCAAATTGTTTTAAAGAGATAAATACATAACATTTTAAATGTGTTAATAATCATGACGGGAAAATAATGCAACTTATGTAATTTTATGCCTATAAAAATGCCTAAAATTCCCTATGTGTAAAATGTTTAGTACATCATGCAATGATTATCACGAAACTTATATTTCTTAAAATCTACTGGATTTTTTTCCTGTCGATGTTGGCAGCTATGCTATTGAAATTGCATTTTTGCACAGATTCAATGCTTCCTTGCATATTTAATTATGTATTACTGATAGATAATGAAGCGGACCTCATTTACAGAGAAAGTTAAAATTATTTTGTTTAAAACTTTTTTAGTTTTAAAGTGTTCAGTTTGTTTTATTCAGAATTCAATTTTCAAATTATTTTAATTAATCTCTGATCAATTAAATGGCTATTACTATTCAATATTATGAGTAAACATAGTAACATTTCAAGTTCATTTAATGTCCATCATAGCCTGAAAAAATTGCAGTTTTTTCTATTTTGATGACTATAAAAATCCTAAAAATTCCCCTTCCTTAAAATATTTAGTACGCCGTGCAATAATTATCGTGAAATTTATATTGTTTTGTAAAATCTACTGGATTTTTTCCTTATCAATAAATAATAATAATAGTCAATATTTCTTGCCAAATGATTCTCTTTATTTAAGTTTATAGAAAAGTATTTGAAACGAAATCAAATGTTTCTAAACTTGTACATGGTGCGTAGCGTTTTAAAAAAAATGCTGAAAGGTGCTTACTTTCGTTTTTTAAAAGCCCTTGAAGGTGCTTTTCATTGGGTGTTTTTTAAAAGTGCTTAATTTTACCTTTTTCAAAATGAGATTTTTCCTTTACTATGTTGATTTTCAACCCCAATCTATTTCGCCGTATCGCCAGTCTGTATAGATGAAAACGCCATTCGTTTTACATGATTCAAAATTTCATGATTTTTGACAATTGTCAAAAACNTAAAACAATGCTAAAAGACTTTTTTTTTTTGACATGACGGTTAAGACAAGATAAAAGCGTTAATTTTCAAAACTTTTCAATCCTGCCTAATTATGATATTTTTTTAAAGTGCTTAAAAATATTTTTTGAGTCCTTGAAAAGTACTTAAAAGGTGTTAATTATTTGGCTATGCACTGTGTTATAAGAGTGACACAAAAAGAAGAAAAAAAAATTTTTTGTAAATTAAAATTTGCCTTTTCTAGTAATGATGTTGTTTTTTTTCCCTTCCCTTTCAGTTGTGTAGGTTTAGTGATTAAGAATTACGAAATTGATGTTGTTTTTCTTCCCTTTCAGTTGGGTAGGTTTAGTGAGTAAGAATTACGAAATTGAAAGAGCCTGTGCTGAAATAGAAAAAGAAATCACTGTTTTGGAACAGAAGCTGAGTAAAAGAAAAATGACTGGTTGAAAAAAATATTTTTAAGCCTACACCTTGAGATAATTTTGTAAGTCATCTGTAATTATGAATGCCATACTTGTATAAAATTTTGAATAAATATTCATAATAAAATAGTTGTTGTTGAAATTCTTCTGTTTAAAAATAAGGAAACGAACATTGCATTTGATTCTGTTCTTCAAATTTCTATTATGAGTATTGTTCTTTTTCTAAATTATCACTTGATGAATCCAAATAAATTCGTATTGTGATAGCGTCCATTTGCATACATCACTTGGCACATTTTATTAAAAAAGTTCAGAGGAAATTTTTAAAAACTGGAAAAAATCAGGGAATTTAATGTATTGTGACCCCTTTTAGTTTTTTTCTTTTTTTAAAAAACAAAATGGAAGAAACAAAATCAACAAAAAAGTTGTGATCGCCTTATTACAATCGCTGGTTACCTATTGGTCAAATGTTTTTTCTTTCTGGATTGACTCCGTAAAACGCCACAAAATTTCAAATCATAGGTCAAATCATAATCTAAAAACTGTCTCCATTGATGTTTGTCGTCGGATTGATTTTCATATACTGCCTATGTATGTGTTTGAAGACGTCAAAAAAATCCTTTTCCTTCTTCAGCATTCCTATTTGTATTAAAATCAACGTCACGCCAGTAATTATACTTTAATCATAAAATGAATGTTAAAATACTTTAAATTAATATTGTATAAATACATTAAAAATGTCTGCTAGTGAAAATAAAAAGAAAGTACAGCAGCGGTCGCCATAGCAATCCATGCCATGACGACGCATGCGCACTGTTTACTATTACTCTTGAACACAGTTGAAAAGTGTGTGGACGCTATCCAATCCCAACCAAGACCCATTTTGACCAATGGGTAAATAAATAAAAACTTCAAAAGGAAACAGTTTATTTTCCCTTTGAGTTTATGTTAATTGTAGTACACATAAATTGTTGTAATTATAATTTTTAAAAACTACTTTATCTTTTCATTTTCTCGGTCGGAAGTAAATGCCTGAATAGTTGGATCTGTACTTACTATCAGCCACCTCACCCTCAAAGTGCAAGATGGCCTTACCCAATAACCCCATTTCACAGCATGTTTGGTGTAAAACTGCATGAGGTATTCAGATCTCGAATTAACGTAGTTAGTATAATCCAGGGCTCGAAGAAAGTCAAAAATTTTACCCGTCCCCGAGGACGGCTTGTCCAACAATGTACCCGTCCTCTATGAAACTAACCTGTAGCTTCTAAATAAATAAAAATATAATTTTCTCTTATTTATTACAAGCATTTATATAAATTACACAATGAATTAGTAGTTACTAGGATTACAAACACTAGGTTACTAATTGTAAAACCTAGTATTTCTTTTATGAAATAATTTATTTCCTTTATGAAATAATTTAAATGACAAAATGAATGTTATCTCCCAGACAGAGAAAACATCAATTCCACCAAGCGCAGTATGTTGCTGTATTTCTAGATTAGACGGTTATTTTAGAAGTGAGGCGCTAGACTCTTGTAAGATAAAAAAAATTGAAAATGTATCACGAATATTAACGGGAAAATGACCGTCCGCGCGGACGTCGGATTCGAGATATTTGTTGTCCGCAGGGAATTCTTGACCACCGAGGACGGGTGGTTTTTCGAGCCCTGGTATAATCCTCATGCGTGTTTAAGCAAACATCACTTCCGATTAACATCAGTGTCGCATTCAATAATTGTGTTGAAAACCATTCTTTTTTTTAATTTTTTTTTTTAAATCTGCAGACTTATTTGCACTGCAGAGTAGATGTTGCCAATCAAAGCCTGAAGAAATAATCATTGAGCACTTTCCTGTGTGTGAAATCAAGAGGGGTTTTTTTTTGCAGTATTTTATTTTAATTTTATCCCTTAAAAATGCCAACAAAAAAAGTTTATTTTTGCCATCTTTCTTTATTTGGCCGCCATTTAGTGAAAAAATGGAATTTTATTTATTCCAACTAGAGACTCGTACATAATCGTTAATTTTTGATCTCCATTTCAGATTACACAGTATGGAGATAGAACAATACACGTCTATCGGCATGCAATTATTTTTATAGGTTAATTTTGGGCAGGGACCGATCAAGACAAATTCAGGCCCACGAAATTTTCCGGGACCCTAACAAAATATTTTGAAATTAAATTTCTGAAGAGTAGTCCTAACAATAAAAAGAATCTATGACACTTCATAATTCAAGAGAAATATTCTAAAAAATTTTGAAAGCAGACAATTGAGGATTATTTTTCTAAGATAAAGTTTACGCATCTAAGTATTAAAGCAAAATATAAAATGTTGTGAAAATAAAAATAGTTTGATGACCACAAGCAAGTGAAATCAGTGATTTTTGCTAAAAGTCACTGATTAGATGAATTATTTTAAAGATTGTAGCCTTCCATCTACAGCTTTACATATTTGTTAAGAATAAGCTTTTAGTTCTTGTTGACACTAATCATTAATAAGAGACTTTGCGAATATGCCTTCTCGTTGCATTTGCTTAAGCCGTTGGAGTAAAGTTTGCAGCAATTAAAATTCAGCTGTACTTTGGAATTTGATAAATGCAATGTTTACATGAGTTCGGTGTATCACAATATAAAGAAAATTTGAAATAAAAAAATGCCTTTTTTGAGAAAAACTTTTTCTTTCAGTATTTAAAAAGAAAGTAAGATTGTGGACTTTTTATTAATTTTTAAGGACCCCCAGAAAGTGTGGGCCCTAGGCCCGTCCCTACTGGGCCTAAGTGATAATCAGGCCCTGATTTTTAGCTAGGATTCTGTATTGTTGCTGAAAGGTGACTAAATAAAGCCCTCAGCTATGATGGCTCAGCCGAAAGAGCGTTCACCTTCCAATGAGATGAACCGGGCTCGAATCCCAGTGATGGCTGGATGATCTATCTGCACCCGGCCCACAATGACCTCAGTGCTGACGTAAAATATCCTCAGTGGTAGACGGATCACGGGTTAGTTCCCTTTTCATCAGGCTAATCGTGGGGGGGTTTCTTCTCCATGTTACGCAAATAAGGGTTTGTTCCATCAAAAAGTCCAACAAGAGGGCAAATTTCTTCCCAATACTTGATTCAGGAGTTCCCTTGTCTTCTGTATTGGGTTCAAAATTACAAGGCTACGGAGTTGAACATCAGTAGTCGCAAACCCATGAATTATGTCGGATGTTCAACGACGGTTTAAAAAAAAAAATATGTTAAGAAATTTAAGACAAAAATATTAAATGCAAGCGTTTAGCAACTAAAAATTGAATTTCACCTGAAAAAATAGGCCTTATTTTGATTCCTTGTTCATTTATTTATTCTTTTACTTTTTCTTGGGCACTAATAAAGTTTAATTTTTTAAAAAGCCTGGTTTGAAAGGTCGTGTCCTAGAGGTCATGGATTTGATCCTTCCGGTCGTAGTAAATGGTGACATTTATTCGTTTTTTAGCTATTCGCTCTTTCCAAAAGAAAAAAAATTTTTTTTTGAATAAAGAACACTTTACTCACGTTAAAATATTGAAAAGAAATATATAAAATAAATAATTACTTTTAAAAAAAAAATTAACCTTCGGCCGGGATTGAACTCCGTTCCCCTCGGACTGCAAATTTCTTTGCTAACTAGCCCGCTGCGCTACTGACCATGCCTCACAAGCTGTTTCCCCGAATATTATACCTGAAGAGCTTATCTGCGGTTTTTCAACGGAACCCATTTTCGTCCATTGTGGTTATCCAACATCATAATGCATAACACTATATAACAACAAGTCAGCGAGCGGGTGGATTACCACTTAGATCAGTCAGCGTAGGGACCGAGGTTGTGCGGTATGGGTCCTCGTTAAACTGTTCCACCGTAAAGTGCTCGACTTATCGAGCAGGTCGTCGGGTTACTGAAGCGGGGTGCCATCCCTTCCGCTGAGGATCAAAATTGAGATGGCGTGTCTTCGGATCATCCTCAGGGATGTTTCCCTGACCGTCGCCAATAGCCCATTGTGCAGATCTAGAACGACGTAAATGAACGACAACAACTATATTAACATCATAATACATAACATTATATTAACATACCACTATATTAACATTGCATATTATATTATATTATATTATATAATAAAAAGTTTAAATGAAGAAATTCGGGATGGTTCAACATACTTTTTGATGGTCCAACATAAAAAACAACGCAAATTGTTCTGATGGTCCAACAAGAATTCCCATTAAACCAGCATGAACCACCACAGATCATCATGGATTTGTTGGTTCATGAGAGTCAAACTTATCTTGATGGTTAATCATCATAGTATTAAAGTAGCATTTTCCATCATGGAAATTTGCACCGAATGGAAAAAGTCACTGATTAGTTGAATTATTTTAAAGATTGTAGCCTTCCATCTACAGCTTTACATATTTGTTAAGAATAAGCTTTTAGTTCTTGTTGAAACTAATCATTAATAGGAGAATTTCCCGAATTTGCATTTGCTTAAGCCGTTGGAGTAAAAATTGCACCAATTAAAATTCAGCTGCACTTTGGAATTTGATAAGTGCAATGTTTACACGAGTTCGGTTTATCACAATATAAAGAAAATTTGAAATAAAAAAATGCCTTTTTTGAGAAAAACTATTTCTTTCAGTATTAAAAAAAAGTAATATTGTGGACTTCTTATTAATTTTTGAGGCCCCCCAGAAAGTGTGGAAAGTTTACAAATTTATTTATTTATTTCATAAAAGTTTATTTTGTTTTATGATTTAAACTACAAATTTCAAAAACAGAAAATTTTAAGAAATTTATAAATTTGTGAAGGAGAGATTTAAGTTTGGTTATGGTAAAAAGTTTTTAAGATTTTACATCAATTTTCAATTTATGTAAGCTTATTACTTTTTCTTGGGCACTAATAAAGTTTAAAGTTTTAAAAGGCCTGGTTGGTAGGATCATGTCCAAGAGGTCATGGATTTGATCCTTCCGGTGAGTTCCATTCCGATCCGATGAGTGCTACTTTTGATAACTCGGAAACAAGTTTACTCTATGACGATCCCATTTCGCCTCTATTTATTTCAAACTTGCACAAGATTCGTAAAGTTCTTAAGGTATCCGTACACGTTGAAAAAG